TACTTTATTTCTCTCTTGAAACACTACTACTCTAATATTTATTTTTACTTAACTGGCCCAGGCCTATTTTCATATATTTCTATAAAATTAATAAAGTTTTATTTGTGATTTGATTTTTAAATGCATTCATTCACTAAATTGTAGTAATAGTTATCGTCACGAAATCTTATATAATTGGTATTAACAAATAAATGCTTTATTTTAAAATAATTCGTGTCACAGTTTGTGATACATAATGTTTCTATATACGAAACTAAATAAATTATAAGACTGATCAAATTGAAAATAATTAATCACACATAAGAGATTTATAAATTCTTGCTAATCTCTACAAATTGTAAAATTATTATATTAATCTATTTTTTCTTATGACACTTATTAACTCGCTCTTTATTCTGATTATTGTCTTTCTTTAATATATCTGCTTGAGCTTGTAATAAACGTATAATGCATGATAACACATTTTTTACTCCTTGACAATTATCATCAATGCAACTACAAATGATTTTATGTATAATTTTGACTCCTGGATCTTGCAATGTACCAGACCAATAAATAAATCACCATACATGTCCCATTGTTACTATACTAAATATCATAAGGAGTAAAGAATTTACTTGTTTATCTCTTTTTCATTTTCCTAACAATTTCTAACAAGATTTGAAGTTAATTTTATAAGTTAAAAATTTAAAAATAATTAATGCTAGTTACTTTAGATCTTATCTTGGCTACAGTATATACTTGTATCAAATTTTGAGCAACTCTCTTTTCTATATATTGTTTTTTGGCCTCATTAATCAATACCAGAACATCTTGTATAACAACTTTATAGTCCAGATTACCGTAACCTCGAGATCTATTAGTTTAGACTCCACATTCAATTCCATTGTAAGATCTTTATATTTTTGAATGTGTTGAACCACCATGGTCATAAAAATTGATATGTATTCACACACTGTGGCTTCATTAGTACTAAGTTTATTATTAAATATGAATGTCTTGTTTTTAAGTTGTTTAATAAAAAATTCAATTTCCTCCTCACTAAATAATGGATTTAATTTGGGAAATTCTTCCAAGTTTAATTGTAGCACTGAGTCAATAGAATTAAAAGTACTTAGATAAATCTCAGTGCACACTTCTTTTAAATTTCAATCTCCAAATGCCTTCTTCCCTTTTATTTGTATTTTAAGGTCTAAAACACGTTCATTTGATTCGTTTGGTCTTGTTTAGGTCAATAAATTCATAAATAAATATTCATCCTTGATTTTTTCATCTGAGTTATTTTTGTTATTTGAGTTTTTTGTAACAATAAAAATAATATTGGCTGTCGCGAGTGAATTAAATAGTTCCTTGGCTTTTTTATGAAGCAAATCCCAGACTCCACTAGAATGAGGTATTTAGCATTTACTAGTATTACACAAAAATCTAAAATTTACTAAGACTGCAAATCAAATAGTAGGTTAGTGTAGTTTTTCATCTAAGCAGAAAATTATTTATACTTATTGCTCGAATCTGATATTGAATAGCATATAACAATTGGCTTTGTACTGTCGTATTGTCTGCCAGAGGCTGTAGAAGGGTGTCTGGTGGAATAAGTGTGTTGCGATCATCATGGTTTAAAAACACAATATTGTTCGGTTTGATATTTTTTAACACTGAATCTTTTCTTTAAGGACATCTTTAAAATCTTTCAAGTCAGAAACTTGTAACAAGTCAGCTTTTAACTTACGAGAACTTGGGTAACTCTCAAGGATAACCCATATTTTAATTATCATATCCTAGAATGATGCTTGTTTCCTTTTTTATTGTTGGATATTTCAGCTATAGGTCGTTACTGTATTAAATAAATTTGTATTTGTAATCAAAATTTTTTGAAAAAAGTTCTAAAATTTTGTCAAATCTGCAAATATTTATGAGAATTTACATTTAAAATGAAAATATATATTAATATAATTATATTTGGTATTTATGTTACAAGGTTTTATCTTTGCATCAAGAGGCGTGTAAAAAAAAGCAACCTCATCTTGATTTTATAACAATCCATTATTAATTATGAGGCTAGTAATTACTTTCTCGTTAGACTAGAGTTGGGGCACAAGAAAAAAATTGGGATACTATGCTCCCAATCATATGTCTGAAATCTAAAATTAGAAATAAACAAAATAAACAAAATTACAAGCCAATGAAAACTTAATTTTATTTTTTTATTTCAATACTGCAAAATATATATATTACAAACTAATTATAGCAATAAGCTGGTCTATATAGGTAAAATCATAGAGAAAAAACAAAAAGAGAAAATAAAGCATGAATCAATGTTTCGCCAACAATTGGGAATTTGATCAATTATTTTTTTAATATACAGTATTTTATGATGATTGAGTGGAGAATGATGATATCTCACTTTGTTAATCAAATCCTCTCCAATCTATTTTCCAAATCATTTAATAATTCATTACATAGTAATGTGATAGTTGTATTGATTAGTTCAACAATGATTCAGATTAAGATCTTTGTCCTATAATTTTACTGAATCAAATGAAGCTGGCCCTGGTAGATCGATTTTGCATACATAATCACATTTACTTTTGTATATGTATTTTGTAAATTTATTTTAATGTATCGCTATGATATTAATTTGGCTATGATCGAGAATTTTTAAAAAATTTTTTTGGCATTTGCATAAAGAATCTTTATACTCATATGTTTTTTTATCCTGAATGTTTTTTTCCATATCAGTATAATTAATTAAATATATACATATATTATATTAAAAAATGGCAAATTCACAATTCAAAATTAATTTATTATTTTTTTTTTTTAATGTTTAAGGTGAAACCATGCTCTTATCTTTATTAGCCTTAATGAAAACTTTTTACATTATTGGAAAAGGTTTTATAACTTAAGCCTAGTACTAAGAATAAGAACTCAGACATA